TCTGTGCGTGTGTGAGCGATGCTGATCATGTGCGAACTACGCGGGTAATGGTGGAAGAATGATGGTCATGGTGAGATTGTCCCCGCGATCCGGGTGGTACTGATTATAGCGATGGCGGTGATGGTGGTAGTTGTGATGATGATGTCGATGGTGATGATGGTGGTAATGATGATGATGGGGAACATGTCTGCGTGTGCGTTCTGCGGACACGCATCTGAGGGGATACGTGAACGAATGTGCACTTGCGCGCGATTGTGCAGCTGAGGGTTGATGATGATAGTGTGATGATGATGATGATGCTGATGCTGATGCTGATGCTGATGATGATGATGATGATGATGATGATGGCGAAGTTGATGGAAATGGCAATGGCGCGGAAAGGAGGGTGGAGGAGAGATCCTGCGCGGGGGGGCTTGGACAAGTAACATACTAATCTCGCGTTGGATGCGAGGGACCAGGGTCGGTAACCGATGTCAGAAAATAATGCAAAAAGATACCTGCGATGGAAATTTGTTCATTCGAGAACGCAACACTAAATCAAGCATTCGTACGCGCGAGACCAACGCGCATGGAGCAGGACATTCACATTATGCGCAACACAGAATTGCAGGCAGCGAATACGTGGACAGGAATGGAAACGCAAGTAAGGTTGAACGCAGTGATGCGTCGGAACACGGAACTGTAAGCACGAATGGGTGCACACGTATAGGTGTAGAAGTTAAAACACGAGTGACCCTGCACTCACATCGGATCGCGGTGACACTTGCGCACACGTGCCGCAAAAGTGCGAGCACGCAAGCGCGAGTCAATACAAGTTCCAACACTAATGATAATTGACGTCGAACTCGTTGTGGCAATGGCCGTCTTCGTTGCCGACGACGAGGTGGGCGGCGGGAGCAATGGCCGTACTTGTGGTTCTCGAAATGGTGATTGTAGCAATCGTAAAAGCGCTGGGGTGTCAGTGGCAGTGGCACTGTAATCTGGATTAGTAGCCATCGTCCATGCAGTGGCACTACGATACGAGACAACAGCCAGTAGTCGCCGCAATGATAACAGTGGTAATCGCACGACGTACGAATGGTAAAGTCCCAATGTTCCAGCGGCCGTTCGGGACAACGCAGGCTCCCCCGGAACGCTCTCGGCCAGGCGCAGCTGCTGGAACGCACCCCCGAAGCCAGAAAACCAACGGGAACCGCTGAAAACTCCCCGATCCTGCAGCCCCCCCAGGCCCCCCCCCTTCCCCCTCCCCGCAGCAAAGCTGGCGGCGGCGCCGGCGAGGAGGCGGCGGGCGAAGGGGGCGGGGCGGGGGGCGGCGTGCCCATTGAGGCCTCCTGTGCATCTCGGGATCCCGCAGGGTGGCGCCAGGGTCCTTTTCCGAGGACGAAGCCCCTCTGCCACTGTCGCCACCTGCGGAGCCCGCGTCAGCGACAGGGCGAGCCAGACAGCGGCTGCGCGCCCAGCGCCCGGGTGACCTCACCGTGCGCTGAGATCGAGGAGTGAGAAGTGGTGCCGCCCGAACAGAAGCGGGAGAACTCACCGCGCTGCTGACCAGGCAGAAGAGCCGCACCAAAGCAATATAAGAGACATTCTTCCCTGGACGAGCGCGAAGAGCGCAGAGAGGGGCGCAGCTGCGCAGACACTCGCGAGGGGCGTCGGCGCTGGCCGTGGCGGCGGCGCCTGTCCGCGGAACTACTCCGCATCCGGCACCACCACCAGTAGCCGAAACACCTGCATCCGCCGCGCCCTCCAGGCCAGCACCTGCGCCAGCTGGGAAGGGGCGAGACCCGATCCGACGGCAACCTCGGCGGGCGGCTGAACGCGGTTAGCGCTCGA